AGAGGCGTCACACGAGAGTATCGCTGAATATTGCATTTGTATGCTGCGAAAAACTGTTTTATACGGTTAACGCTTCCATAGTCCAGTAAGAAATGGGGAAGCCAACGTCAACTTCATCGACGTAAACGCACCCGCCGTAACGTTAGAGAACTCCATCTTGTCAATCTGCAGCCGCCGTTCCACCTCCTTCGTCGCTCCCTCTCGCAACAGCTGTAGTCGTGGGGGGGAGGGAGTACTGGGAGGTCGGGGATCATCGCCGGGCATTGGCGCCCATCGCCCCGCGTTTCTAGCCGCCTCGGCATGTCGTTTCTGCTTCGATGTGAGCTGAAACATGGGGAAGCCCATGGCGTCAATGACACGCTCCGCATGCATGGCCGCCACCAGCTCCGCCTCCTTCTCTGTGGAGGCCAATCCTTCCCCCCAGCGCTCGCCGTACTCGGGAGGAAGCGGAACACGAACCCTCGCGTGAAACAGCTTCTCCTCGTCGCCCGCTGTCTGCACCTCCCGCACTTCTGCCAACAGATGGCTCGCCGAAGAAGACGTCTCACAGGCGCTGTGCGGCATGCGCTTAGCAAAGTTTGCCACCTTTGCTCGAGCAAAGGTGTCAATTGTCGTGATCGTCTCCGCGGCGGCTTCTTTGCTCGCCTCGTACTCCTCCAATTCAGGGAAGTCGTCCACGTCGTCACCGTCCACGTTCGTGCGGCTTTTATTGTTGCGGCCTTCATCGACGTCATCTGGCAGTAGCAGCTCCACCTCCAGCACCTCTGGGGTTCCACCAGACAAACACAACAGCGGCCTTGTTGGCTTCGTTATGCAAAAAGCCCGACATCCGCCCGGCCACAATGCGTGGAAGAGCGCGGGTCGCAGCAGTCGACCAAACGCCGCGTTGAAGGATGATCGCATTGCGTTCCACGCAAACAAAGACAAGATTTAAGACAGCCGCGACGCGCAATTTCTTTTGTTCCTCCTACTTGACCGGTACTGAAGGTATCTTTGAACTTTCCCCCTCGCCGCAATGGAGAAAAGAAAAAAAAAAACAAGAAAAAAACTTTCATAAAATCAACAGAATGGAATGACGGGCAGCGAGGCAAAAGGAGAAAAATTCGCACTCCGCCCAATTTTCAATTTTTTCTTTTTGTTTATTCTCCTCTTTTGCCCTCCCCGTGACTCCTCTTCGCTTCTCGTAAGTGTCGGCAGGGCAAAAAGTAAACGGGCGAATGCGTTCCAATATTCATTTTTTTTTTTTTTCCATTCTCCGCTTTCTCCTCGTTTTTCTTTTTTATTTTCTCACTTTTTTTTGTTTTGGAGGTTACCGGCGTTTCTTCTCGCAAAGCAGCGGTTTTGACTGGTGGGCATCCGGCACGGAAAGGCAGTGAACGACAGTCAAAAACAACGACAACAAAATGGAGGGGGCCTGCGAGTCGCACCTCCCGCGAACGCACAAAAGTTTTTCCCTCGTCTTCTTTTGGAGTTGCTTTTTTTTTTTTCCTTTTAATGGCATTCCTTCCCGATTTCCTCCTCCTGCTGCTGCTCCTGCCCCCCTCCCACAGACATCTGTACGGCAGCTCCACCGCCACACACACACACACACAGCTTTCACAGTAACAAAGAGAAACTACGCGGCTTCCATTGCCTCCCCGTTGTATACTCCCACAGTACGCCTCAGCTTGTGGTAGTACTCCATTGTTTCCTGAATGAGCTGCAGCCTCGAGATATTCCTCAGCGAGGCACAAAAAAACAGCGGCTGCAGAAGAACACCAATAACAAAGATGATGCACAGTAGCATGAACTCGGCGGCCGCGGTAAAATACATCTTTGGGTTAAATACAAAGAAAATAATATTCGCAGAGAGACATAAGAGCGGCACCGAGTACGGCAAGACCGTTAGGAGTGGCGTCATCACTGCCATGGGGATTATCCAAAACAGCGCGCTAGAGGTGACAAAAAACAAAAACGAGAAAATAGCAACACGCAACTTCAGATACTTCGGGTGCGCGGTTCCCGGCGGCAAGGCCCACTCCCGACGCCTGAATACCGACGGCAGACGCGCCTCCGGCAAAGGGATATCGGACTGACCATCGCCACGCAACCAGCTATCAAGAAGAGAGAGACGCTCCTTGTCGAAGAGATAATCCTCCAAGTGAACAACATGACGCCCGATAAACATTACAACATGCCGGAGAACCTTCAACTGCATGTGTTTGATAGGGAATAACCTCACACAGACTATAGCCGTCCCTGTGCCAAAAACAATTAATGTGTTTGCCACACACTTCAACCAGTAAGGGTTCCTCGTGAACCACAGTATCACACCCAGCGAGAAACGCGCAAAACAACTTCCCAGCAACTCTATGAGAGAAAAGAAGAACTGATAATAACTTTCCAACAACCGACTCTTTTCCGGGACAAGATAGGATTCTAACCACGCACTAATTCCATCGACTGCTGGTGTCACCATGATCACGGGAAATCCAGGGGCGAGCGGCGACGTGAGGGTACTATTTGCTCCATCCTTTATCATCACATCATGTGCGGCAAACATGACGTAAATTGGAGTCGCCAAAAAGACGTACAAGAGTGTCATTTCAATGCAACAAAAGCGGATAAAATCAAGAGAGACACCAAGCGGGTCAGTATCAAAGACCTGGGCCAAGACAAATTTCCAGTAGGCTGTATCATCCTCCAGGTTAAGGTCCACACTACGAACAAAATATAACTCAACGCCCGGAGCAAAGAGGGGGACGATGATGGCTGTCTCCACATGCAGCAAAATCATGGAACAGAAGCTCCCTACTAACCAATAAGCCAGAAGTCGTGTAAGTGTCAGTTCACCAGCGAATGCCGACAACGATGCCGGAAACGTTAGAAAGTACGGGGATAAGGCAAAGTGCACAACGATGCCTCCACAGGTGGTCATCAGAATTGAAAACAACACCAACTCAGAGAGGTAAGTAATAAACCATAAGGCAATGTCAATTTCCGTCGCACTTGTTTTCCTCTCTTGCGCCTCTGCAAACCGACGGGTCGG